AAAGTGTATGAATGTTTAACATGTCCTCACGATGTCTTTCCATGCACAAGTGCCCTGAAGTTGCTATTTTCATCTGAGGAATCAAAAGTGCCGCTCTCCACGCTACGGATGTCAGAAACCATGGCTGTTGCCATGGTGATGCCACACTGCAATATTCTTTTGCAGCTCGCCCTCCTGCAGAGGCTTGCAGCGCTTACAAGCTGGGAAAGACAAGGGTTGGGAGGGAGGGATGCAGAGAGAGTGAGAGAGGGAGGCAGGGAGGGAGGGGCGAGGAGGGAAGGAATAGGAGATACGAGGAGTGGAGTGGAGGGCTCTGCAGCAGGATTCACCAGAATGCTAATCATCCTTTTCTCGACAGTTTGTCCTTCATTATGCAGGAGACAATGGCCAGGACCAAAAGGCAGGACGTTAATATGTACGTAAACACTCAGGCACGAGTATAAAAACACATCTATGAAACGGTGAACACGTACGGTTCCACACGCCAGTGAAACGTACATCCAAGGTCACTGCACACAGGCTGGGCAGCAAATAGAAACATGAGCAATGTGTACACACACACACACACACACACACATGTAAATGCATGCATGATACACATGTGAGCACTGACTGCAGTCTGGGTCGGTACTGCCGACTCGATCTGAACTGCAGTCTGGGTCGGTACTGCCGACTTGATCTGGCAACAAGCAGTCTGCTGCTGGTGAAACATTCACACCATTAACAAACGCTCAATTATTAAAAAGCCACAAAATGGCTCTAATTGCTCACTGCAGCCCAACGTCTCCATCAGTATTCTCGGAACGTTCCGGGAGCTGCAGAAGTTATTCCTGCTCTGAATGTGCTCCCTGAGGATAAGACACTGATATACACAGATATTCCGTGTCATGTTAGGATTTAAGGGTTAGAGCGCAGTGAAGAATCGAGGAAGAAAAGATCTGTAATTACTGTTTGGAAGAGTTGCCTCAAATCTGCTCAGTTTTTATTAAATTTGGACAAAGATGGCTGTATTTGATGTACAACACAGGCTTCAGTTCAGAGAAGATGGACAAGGTCAAGGTCATGAGTCATATCTGGTTAAAGCCCGTCATCTACATAATGTAATTAGAACTGGAGACAGTAGGCTGCTATTGAACAAGACCCCGGGGTCTTTCTATTTTCAAGATTCAAAGACTGAACTCCCACATGATCTCTGGCTCTTCTTTACTCTAATTTGAGAATATGAGAGTCAGTCATGTCTTATGAAGCATTCCACGAGGATCTATTGTCGGCCGATTCACAGTTTCATCTTTGTTGCTAATGCTAATAGAGGATGCACCGGGGTTACCCTGGGTTTTTTTCCCTTCCTGAATCTCATTAAGTAACAGCATGTTGAATTCAGAGCAGAGGGTTCATCCCCGCTGATGTGCAGGATAACAGTTGGAGCAAAATAGCTTTACTCTTCGTATTGTTTACATTTAAATGGAGTTCCTCCCTCGGCTACTGGGGAGATGATGATCGTTCAAACAACAAAGGCGAGCGCTGTGACAGTTCAATATCACCAAGTTATCACTGTGCTTACTCCTGGGTACGGCTGAAGACACTGCAGTGTGAACTCGATGGTACTCCCGGTGCAACAGGGAGAGACTGAGAGACAGTTGCCTCACCGTAGTGTGGAGAAACCCGGGCCTCCCTCAGATGGAGCACAGATGTGCTGCGGGTCACCTGAAGCTTTGAAATGTTGCCCACCCACACCTCGCACGTATTCAAATGGAAGGTTTTCCTAGAGTATCTCCAGGGAGAAACCTGTCACTCACCACCAACCCGGGGTTAATGTACTGCTGACTGAAGATTTACACGTCACAGCAGGACACGCTCCTGACACTGAGGATTCTGTGAGCAGCCGCTAAAGACAGTTGTCTCTGTAGAGTTCTCCGTCCTCCATCACGTGGACACAAACACTGATGGAGTTTTGTTATAAAACCGTCTGATGCTGCTGAAGACCATCCATTATTATTATTATTATTAGTGTGCATAAATAGAACGGTAGTATGCTGACCTGACATTCAGGCCAATAAAACCTATTATTGAAAATCAATTTAACAGAGAGAGAGAGAGAGAAAGAATGAAAGATGGAATAAAATAAAATGAACGGAGGAAAGGTTGCAGCCGAGGGGCGGAGCTGCGGCGTGATATGACAGCTCACAGGACAGTAGGTATCTAATGGACCTTCTCCCTGCACCAATTACCTCCGTCAGTCAGAGCTGGACACACTTGCTCCGTGGTCCCATTCACTACTACCGCCCACACAGGCCCACGCGTCCCACAACTGGCTGTTTAGACCAAAAATAGTTTCTGGGCTGGAAACATAACGGGCTACGTTGTCGGGGGCGTCTTACTACTAACAGTAAGAAGAAAAAAGAAAAACGCTTTCCACAGCCTGGTTGTCGAGTGTGTAGCTTTGCCTTGTTATTAACGCAGTACAAGGATTAACGTCTTTGTTCGACAAGGCTGTATTTTGTGGTGGTATCTGTCTGCCAATGGAGCCGCCTCATTAAAATCAATGAGCTAGTGCTATTTGTTGCAGTGTTAACATTCAGCTCAAACACTGCTCCATCTCTGGTAGCACAAGATGTTTATTCATTTTTACGTGAATGTCTTTTTTTATTATTCATGCAGCAAATATAATATTTATCTATATTGTCTTCCTCTCCATCATCGGCTTTGTAATTACTTCCTGTCGGGATTTTGTTTTGGTTGCCCTGTAGTGTTGGGTCCCAGCTGACGGAGGAATTTCAGGCTGCTCATTTCCACATGTTGAACCCCAGGGGTCTAATTCTGCTGTTGCTGGAAAACCTCTGAGAATGGGCAGACAAGGGGGTCCTGTTTCAGCCAGGCGTGGAGATCCACGGCCCCATGAGAGTAGCAGACTCCTACAGAGTACTTAATATATTCACAGTACTCCCCTGACCTCGGATTTAGCATGTGAGAATACTCCTAGAGGACCTGACTACAACAGTCGTACGTTATGCAAGGCTTTGCTACGCCCTTTAGGCAAGCAGGCTTAAATATATAAGTGGCTATCACAGCACTGGGGTTTTGGCTCTGTTTGGAGCTGTTTATATATGCACTGAGTACACACAGGCAGGGCGGGAATGTAAATGGCTTTAGCAGGATACCGTACCTCCGTATCTGCAGAGATCTCCCACTGGGATATTTTCATTAAGGAGTGTGACGGATAAAAATGGCTCCTACTGCTCTTAGATTGTTTATCATTTTACAATCTTTTAATTATAATAAATCCCCTAAGTTGTTTATTTTTTTTTGACTAGGATTTGTTGGTGTTTTCATCTGTTGTGGCACTACCTCAACCTCCTCTCTCGCTCTCTCTTTTTAATTTAGATAACATGTATCCTGTTGAAATGCTTCATGTTTCCAATCATGGCAGAATGTTAGCTGTAGAGACTGGCTACCCAAAGTATAGATCTCAAAACAAAGCCTTTAATCCATTGTATTCTTGGGTTTTTGGTCATATTGTTTTTTCATTTATCCAATAGATCATGCATAATTGGTTGGCTGTTGTGACATTGTCTTAAAAACCTTCACAGCCAGACATTGTCCATGGATTTCAAATGAAATTGAGACGACTTTGTCAGAAATTGCTTCAAAAATGTAATGTTATACTTGTTCTTGTGGAGTGTAAGCCAAGATCAGATTAATGATATTATATTATTGTGATTATAGCACCCCCTTTGGTGAGAGGAAACACAACATTTTTTTATGGAATTCATATTACCAAAGAAAGGCTGTGTGGAAAAGAAAATACAAAGTGTGACACAGTTTTAAATGCCTTCATATCTCCTGTAGTTTCCTGGCTAGTAGCAGACAAACAGTTTCCTTTTACACAATTTAAGGAATTGTCTCTACTATAATTAGCTGCCTTTACTGCAGTGGCCTCTGATAACCTCTGTTTAACAGACGGTCAATAAGAATCAACCACTGCCCCCAGTTTCAAAGGATGCTGGGCCTCGGGGAGGTAGTTAGCAGTCTTGTGACCTACATATAGAAGTGTGAGGAACTCAAAAGAGAATTCTCACGGGGGAAAACCTCCACTTAGCAGCGCCCATAGTCTGCAGTCCTCAAAGACAGTTACTTTAATCTGAGCTGCTGAGGAATAAGTTTATTGGTTCGTCAGGGGCAGTAGCTGCAGCAGTGAAGTAAACAATCCCTCCTCTGTTGTTTCTCACCAGATAAACAGAATAGAAATGGATGGAAAACACATGTTGAGTAGAAATATTCTTCAGCAACGGCAGTAAATTTTATGTATCAGCACATGGTGCTTATTTTAACAGCAGATAAGTCCCATAAAACGACGTGGCTTTACCAGCGCCAATTCCCACATATGAAGTGTACTTCATCACCGAGTGTCACACACTCACAGATACGGAAAACCAGCGCCATTTGTGCACATGCTCTGTAATCCACTTTGAATATCACTGTACCAATAGCAATTTATAACCTGTAGTTACTCCACCTATAGGCCATACTCTAGTGTAGGATCATAGTAGATTAGGGATGTCAATTCAGAGCAGAAAAACAGAAAAAACAGAAGACTAACAAAGGCTCAATGCTAGGCTGGTTTACTCATGACCAATGGCAAACCGACACTGCAGCTTAGCACTTCCATTTTTTTCACTACTTGCTTCATTTCTACTCTCCACCACGTCAGCTCCCCAGCAAAGAGAACGTGCTGCCAAATGCCTCTTTTCCACCAGGCCCTGCCAAAGTCTCTCTTCCAATTTGGCAAATGTCCGGCTAAGGGACGAGCACAGGAGGCAGCGATGGCTCACATCCTGACCCAAAATAACAAGCATAATAGAGATGCTCAAGCCCCAGCCGGGCACAAGCATTTTGTTCACAAAAACCTTTTAAGAACACGTCCAGTTGAAGAAAAAGACACAAACAAACAATCAGGCGCACGTTTAGGTAAAAAAAAAAAAAAAAAAAAAAGGTCCACTTACCTCCAGGCTGTATTCTTCCACAGTTCTCTTGAGTGGGTCCACAATCTGCCAGCAAATGAGGATGCACAAGTCGATTAGCAGCATCCCGCCAACAATAATCAGCAACTTCTGGTCCTTGATGATCTGGAAGAGCGAAGAAAATGAGATGCTTTCATTAGCCAATAACCCACACCTCCAAATGCTGTGGAGGAGTGGGTCGTCCAGCCGTTCCACACAACATTTCTCATTGACCACTGTAATTACATGAAGCCGGCGGTTCTCACCCCATCATAGAACCCAGACTCCTGCTGGACTGATTCAAACATCTAATCAAAACCTGATTACAACGACTTTGAGGTGTTATTCATCCAGTACAATACAAAATCAGTTGAACTGTAAATCCAGCATGGAGACTCTGGCCTGATTCTGTTCCGAGGGCCCTTTTGAAACTTTGTCTTAGCATGAAATAAACCACTGCTGGAGATGGGTTCAGCAAATAAAATGCCACCTACGAATATGAATGTGTAAGTTTGTGGCCACAGAAATGCTAAGAAGATCTTCCCGACAGGAGTGAGTAATGCGGTTAACCACTAAAACCCCTCTTTTGTACCATGAACTTTGGAAAGATGAAAGCCTCGACCTGTTTGTGATCTTTATTTATAATAGCTTTTGACAGTCTGAAACTGTGGATCAAAGAAAAGGTCAGGAAACACAGGCAGAGATGGCTTTGGAAACCATCACGTAGCCCGATGCAGCCCGCTGGTCCTATACTTTTCATCCCTCGGTGGGCTCAGGAGGGGAGGGATGAAGGGAGAGCCTTTTTATATGCTGTCATTTGATGGTGTTGGCAGTGTGCTGATGTTGGCAAGGTGCTGTGGTGTTCTCGTAGTAAAACAGCCACGCTCGGAGGCAGGCCAGTTAAGAGATGCAAAGCAGGTCGAATGGATGTGTAATGGCCAGTGGCGAGACGGGATGCCAAGATGGACGAAACTAAAATAACTCTGTCTTTAATAATTCTTGAAGGAACTGTTCCATCTCTATATTTACACTGTGGCTTCTGGATGTACGCTCGGAACATTTTTTTAAGACATTGGCTCAACAAAGTGGAACTCAATTGTGAATTTTATTTAATTTTGGTTTTGCATTTTGGTCTTGTAGTTACCAGCTTTCCATTTTCTATTAGGAATGTATACCAAAAATAGATCTAACAGTTCTGTTTGTATCCAGTGGTTGCAAAGAAAACTCCTGAAAATGCCAGTTAAAGCACAACTGGTTTGAAAAATCAGACAAATCAGAAAATTTTACAAAACATAGCGAAGCCAACTCTAAGGTAGATGTGGAGTAAAACTGGAGTCAAATAACTGGCCTTGAATTTGATCAATTGTGAGATTAAACTGAGATTATTCTAGACTTTCTAGTCTATATAGAAAAATAAGAACGTCCATTTCTGTCTGTTTCTCATTTCCAAAGTCAAGTACACACTATCCAGCTTTAATAGTCTGTAGATCACTGTGCACTGGCTGATTTAATACCTTGTGATCCGGGGTCCTGAACTTATTAGTTTCCTCTACAAGTCTGAGCAACGACAGCGCGGTCACACAGAGCGAGATCTTTACTGCGAGGAAATATGTGTTGTCTGCACCGTCCTGAAGTGAGGAAGTCTTGACTACATCATTATCACATGCAGTACTTTTAGATGTTGCCTTTTTCAATTTCAAGGTCAAGGTCAGTGATTATGATGTCATCAAAGACTTGGTCCAGTTGGATTTTTCTAAACTGTTTTGGATAACCTGGCTGATGATCTAGATGACCCAGAACCTACACAGAGGTTCTAGTATTTTCTGTCACAGGAAGATGCTGACAGGCCGTGCAGTACAATGTGACTGCGTACACACAGTACACACTGTACACACAGTACACACTGTACATTCAGCATATAAATAGCAGATGTTGCAAGGAACTGGAGGAGTGAACTGGTTGTTTACTGTGAAGATGGTTTGTATGTAATTGGAAGAAGACATTGAGTGACAACCCTCCCCTCAGAGCTGTGTGTGACACTCAGGTCTTTAACTGGTGACGGATTGCTGGCCGCAGCCCACCAAATGGAACCCTTATTGAACCCACCCAGGATTTACAATCTGTGTGCTCAGATGTGGGGTAAAAAGATGGAGGGATGATCAGCAGGACAGGCGGAGGGAGGCACTTCCAGCCCGACTGGAGGAAATATGGCTCCGACTGGAGTGTGTCCCTCCCCTGACACTGGCTTGGCTGGCAGAGATTCCAAGGAACCAAAAGCAGCTGTCACTTTACTGAAGCCAAGGCACCTGCACTCAGTAGGTGTTGATGAGGTGTGTGTGTGTGTGTTTTACTGTTTGGTTTCTGCTAATGATCTGCAGAAGATTAGGAGAGAGTGAATGGGATATAAAAAAGTAGCGATGCGAAGATCGCCGATTTATGGCTGATTACGAGTTCTGATTTCTTTTTCTTTTCTGATTTCCATACATTTATTTGACAACAGATACAAAAAGTGGGATTAGGGTTAGAATTGTATTCTCAGAAGTTATTATGAAATCCAAACTAAGTACAGACTAAGTAAAGTAACGTTATGAATCCAAACCTCAGTTGTAAAAGTCGTCGTTCCTTCAGTGTGGCTACTTCCTAACACACAGTTTACCTGTTGTTAGCCTCTTTGACTGTGCATGTTTGGTTGGAGAAAGAGTTTGCAGTGGTTTCCCTTCTGTTAACCTCATTGTTACATATATCACAAACAGCCGTCTTTGCTCACTGTAAACCTGTCAGCCGTCAACCCTGACTGGCTCAGATGGGTCAGGGCAAACTTCAAACTGGCCCAGTGTTTTTAACTGTAGAGACATAATTGTTCTGACCAGACGGCAAAATGACTGTGAAAATGCTGACCCTAGAACTAGGTCACGGGTCCTGACCATTAAACCTTTGTGCCATTCAATCAGACCTGGATTGTCTTCATCTGTATTTATCTGCTGCCCTAGTTTTTTGCTCCGTGTCCACCCCAATCTTGATGACTTGAATTTGTGTGACATTGTTTGTCTTGTGCCCTCATGTGGCCTGTGTTCTCTTCCTTCCTTCCTCTCCCACTCTTCTCTCTCTCATTGGTTGACCACCCACACTTACTCTAACATAACATACGGGTGGTGGTGGGAGTGGGCGAGGGAGACAGGCGGGCAGGGACCAATTTATATAACTGGGTCAGTGAAACAGATTCGTCAGATGAGTTAAAACACCATTATTATTATTATTATTAATTTTTGTTTTGTTATGTGTAAAAATCCTCTGGATTTTCTTGTGTTTCTGAATCTTACAGACATGTTGTTGAAATCCTATTGGAATTCTTTATTTTCCTAAATCAGAATTTCCAGTTGCTGACATTATCGCAGAAGAAGATTGTTTCTAGGAAACACAAGCAGTTTGAACATTGGACAGAAAGACGGCAGAATCTGGTGTTTACTTGTAAAGAAACATTTGTCATTCTGAACACATTAAAAAAAGAAACATCCCATACCTTCTTTTTCATCTTGACGTTTTTGAAGATGGCGTGCACTCTCCAGGTCTTAGCAAACATGGCTCCAAAGGCTGTGGTGTATCCAACGATTAGAATCCATGTCCGCACCTGAGCACACGACAGGCAGACATAAACCTGTGTCAGGTCTTACGCTGTGATCAAGGCTTTAAAGTGGCATCTGATCTGTCGGCTATTTGCATTTTCCATGAGGGCTATTGTCAAAATAGAGCTGTGAACAATTCTAAAAATAAGACAACGTCAGATATATTTTTATTCCCAAGTGTCTCGACACTGGGGAGAATGACTTCGATGGCGGAGGCTGTCACAATCCTGAGAGCATTTCATTATAATGAGATACAAAACGTGGACCTCTCGCTGCTCCGGGACAAAGGACACGGCTGGAGTGTCTTAAAAGCATTGCATCTGAATATAAATGAAAATGAAAAAAAAATAGCTACACAGGAGGAGAACATGAATTGTACTTTTGTGCACTGCACGAGGAGTCGCAGCTGTTTTATCTCAGTAAATTCCTCTGCTCCACATGTTTACACCTGCTCCTCTTGTCGTGACACTGTCTACTATCTGAGAAGCAATAAAGTCAGACAGGGCCTCAGTGCTGGGCCAAAAAAACAAATACAGCCTCTATTCTCAAGGAGACCAGCGCGTATTGATTGATGGTGGATGGAACAACCTCTGTGCGGCTGTGCAGCCAAACCTTGTCTGGAGTGACGGGCTCTGTTTTGGCTCTGCGGCCAGGTGGTGGCAGCGTGAGACGTGCCCTGCTTTAGATTACTGCGCTGAACGTGCACGGCCGTGAGCGTGTGGCTGGCAGGGAGGTATCTCTCAGTGGGAAGCAGCTTTGACTGTAATCAAAACTCTTTAATTAATCCAGCGTGTACATAGTCAGACAGGCAAGACTGCCCTGAGGTCCAACGCTCTCTGTGCTATAGCTGCGGCAGGAGCTCCATACTGAGACATCACACATGATTGACGTTGTAATGGTATGGCCTCATACAGTACACGGTTTGATGATGCTGAAATCAGTTAGTTTTTCTTCTTTATCCTCCTCTTCTTTCATCGTTCTCCACTTCTTCTTGCCTCCTGCCTTTTTTCTTGTTTTTGTCTCCTCTTCATTTTCTTCTTGATGAAGCATCTTTTTCTTTCTTTTTCCTGCACTTTTTCTTTTCACTGATTGCTGCCTCCTCTCCTCCTACTGTCTTCCACTACACCCACTCACCTCCAGCTCCAGCGAAGGGGATTTTGGCCTCCACCGTCCAGCTCCAGCGAAGGGGATTTTGGCCACCACCGCTCTCTCAAATTTCTCCATCATAGCATGTTTCACTACCGACTTATTCCATTTAATTTAACTTGTACACTTCTCGTTGGACCCTCTTTCTTTATTGTTGTACTGATCTATGTCTACTTCATTAAAACCAATCAAAATCATTGCAAATGAATTCACTTTGTGTCAAACTACAACCTGTCATATGTGAACTTACAGTGCACAGAGTCTCAAACTCCTTGTCAGAGACGAAACCTCCATCCAGACCAAACAAGAAGATGGAAGCGTAGGACAGCATTCCTCCAAGGATGATCAGGTTGTTCATGTAAGGACTGGACATTTTGATTAGTCTAAAAAAAGCACAAGACCAGAAAGAAGAATGATACTTTGTCCATGAAATTAAGAACAAAAAATGACAGTAACATCAGCTTTTACTAGTCTTGAATTCCATTTTCACGAGGTTAATATTCAGCACTGAGAGACACCGACCTGTGGTTGCGGTTTTTGATGTTAAAGAACAAAAAGGCTCCTGCCATGAGCATGCCCAGGATGGTGATGGTGGACAGGATGCTGTACAGTGGCACGTTGATGTGCCGACGCTGCAACCGCACAAACGTCCGATCTTTGGGGGGTTCGACACCTGGGAAAGAGAGGAGAATAGTTTATTATAAAGATGGTTTTTACATGCTGATCGTTCTAAACTCCAAAACAGTGATTCTTCTCAGGACATCCAGTTATTAAGGACCGTTTCCTCTCATCCTCTCCTGGAACACCCTTTTTCACGCATCTTAAAGCGTCACGACCGCGCACTTTCTTATCTTTTGCTCTGTTTTTCTCTGGCCAGTGTGCCAATCGATTACAATGGCATCATCTTACACATATCCACTTACTGTGGTCAGGGAAGTGGAAACAAGTGTTTCAGATGGTACCGCCTGAGAGTTTCTGTATCTAGGGCAAGGGTGGTGTAGGAAAGGATAGCCAGGGGGATTGAACAAATTACAAAGTATGTCAACACAGGACAACACATGAGGAGTGAAAAATGGACCTGTAAATAATTTAGCAGGGCGAAAGGACAGTTTAGAGCAGTGAAGGAAAAGTGAGTCTCCAGTGTGAGTGGTGCCTTGTCTGTAGGTAGTAGAGGGTGTCAGTGAGCGGCTGGAAGATGTTTGGGCTGCATAGGTGCAGATGATCTGTCAGTTTGACTGTAAACGCACCTGTCTCGTCTCTTTGACAGCTAAATATAGCAATGTTAATGTAAATCACATAACTTCACAATAACTTCAACTTTCCTGCTCTGTGTTGTCAGTCATGTCAGTAGTGTTCAGACCTTGGAACCTGATGGAGTTGTTGTTGAGGTCCAACACATCTGCAATGGCGTTGTACTCTCCGACTTTAACTTCCTGGCCCTCTGTTTCAGAAAACACACAGAGGGAGGTGTTAAAACACACGTTCAAAGGTAACATTTTCAAACTGTCGTCTCACCCCTTTACATTACTGTTACACAACACACAAGTTAACACAGTTATATGATCTCCATGTTAGCAGCATTCAACAGGCATTACTAGGTGATGCCAGATCCATTAAAAACAATGGATGGTTCAGTGAGTAAACAAATAAAATAACCAAGACATTGGACACTGAGCAGAAGAGCTCAGAAAACCTCAAAAACAGGACAAATATCACTGGAATCTTCATAAAGCTTTGGTAAAACAAAACAAAATAACCTTGACTTTGAACGCTAAACATTCTACTAAGTGATCTGTATTTTTAAGGTTGTCTTTTCACATAATATAGAAGAAAATAAGGCACACAGATAAATGTGAGAATTCACAAGTTTAAATACACGCTTCTGTTTAGACTCACAGTGAAGGAAGTACTTATGCAGCAGGAAGAGACGATCAGATAAATGTTTCCGTACATTCAAAGCTCTATTTTCCAAACTGCGTACTTCTGTATACCCCTGTGTGTGTGTAAACATTCAATTTCTTTGAAGATCTGCTCAAACACTGCCATTTCAGTGGGGAGGACGGACTATTCCGTCTCTTTTTCCAAGCACTACAAACAGCCTGTAATTGTTTCTGGGGAGAATAAATCTCTCCGCGTGTTTCTGTCTGTTATCACTCAAATACGCCAATCGAGCCGCGCCGTAACATTGTCCTTGACTTGGAAATAGATGATAGATATCATCAACATCACAGAGCCATGCTTTCTCCTCCACTCTCTGCTCCTCTCCTCCACGTGAATTCTATCATTTGATCTTTGAATTATGTCATTACCTCGTAAGCAGATGGTGTGAATGTTGTACCACCCTGCCTCATTCACTACACTCTTTATTTTTTTAGACTTCACAGTGCTGACGATCAATGACTGTGTTTTCTCTGACCACATCCTTTGTTGGGATCTAAACAGCAGAAGGGATTGTATATCAGCACTCCTCCTCTGAGGTGCTAAAATACTTTCTCAGCACTCTGCACCCACAGGGGATATTGATGGCTGCAGCAGTTGCATAAAACTCTACATCTGTTGTTCGGCCGGTGCCAATTCTTAGTTTTTCAACTCCAAACGGACTCTCGCAACAACTTTTGCATGAAAAAAAAATGGGATGAGATGCCCACCAATTGATTTTTTTGCTTTCATCTTTGCTTCGCTTCATTTTTTTGGCTGAGCTCATAAAGTAGGAATGTGTGAGTATAACATGTAGGATGGAATGTAGAACTGAGTTTCTTTCTTTTTTAAGTCGATTTTATACAGTATGTATTCTGTTGCAACTCTGTGAAAAACTGGTAAAAGTAAATTATATTAAAACACGTATAAATAGCATAAAAACTAAAAAATGTATAAAGACAAACTTACTACAAAAATATCCACTTTAAGTAAGACTGGAGTTTTATTTTGGAAAAACTTAACAGAGAATCTTATTTTGACATACTCTGGCGTTCTTCTTATTGGGGAACAATCTGATAATTCTATCCTGTAAATATATATATATATATATATATATACACACACATATATATGTGTATATTCATCTGCTGCTTGGGGCCTGTTGCTCGGGGACAATGTAGTAAATGTAAGAACGTTTTTTAAAATATTTTTAATATGTAATATATTTCTTAATATATGGCATAGTAACACTTGCCAAAAAAAGATCAAATCTGCAGTCTAAGCAACAGCTAATGATGTCACTCGTCTCTTATTCCAGTTTAATGAGGAACGTGGGGGTCTTTGACTACCAAGCCATGAAAGGGTATGACGATCACCTATTGTTAAGGCTAGATGGTGGGGGTCACATTATGTATCGCTGTTTGGAAATATTCAAGCCTGGGGTTAATTTATATTTCCACTGAAATATTTTTGCCCTGCATAAAAAAGGCTAATAAAAATGGACATGTTTGTTTTTAGGGTTGTGCCTTGAAACCAGAGTTGTCCATGTGGCCAACACTGCACTGACAGAGGTTTGGTTTCCCCCAACTTGACCCCTGCGGGTTATTTCACGCTGAACCCGCAGGCGTCATGTTGGGGGATGAATCCTCTGATCTTGTACTGTCAGACCTGTTGACCCTGGTCCTTATTAGTACAGTGGACTCACCAGCAGAGGCAGACACATCTGCATGTAAATGAGCACACACAGGTGTAAGCTGCCACAGGGATGACGCCCCTCTGCAGTAGGAGAGATAAGGCCGCTGGGCAGACGGGGCAGAACTGCCCCATGCAGAGAGCTACACACGGTGTGGGGAGCAGAGGAGATGAGATTTCCTGTATCAACATCTAATCTCACTGCTACACTTTCTGACCCTGCTGGCTCAGGGACAACTTTGGAATGATGCATGGAAGACAGATAGTGCTGAGGCACGTTTTACATACAACCCGTCACCACACACACACACACACACAGACATACACACACAGACATACACACACCTCATCACTGCAGAGATGAGAATTCACAGCAAAGCACTACAGACCTTGCTGGTTTGGAGCCGAGTCGCACAGACTGACAGAGATTAAGTAGCCGATATTTTTTTAGAGTCACTTTGCCAGAGAAGTCTGACGATATTTTTTTAGAGTCACTTTGCCAGAAGTCTGACAAAAGCCCTTAAAAAGATGAATGTTGTTTTTCTTGTTATTTGATCGAAAAACCACGGCCTGCTTTTCTGTCTCTTCACTTGTATTTAATTAGTCCTTGTGGTATTTAACTTTACAGTCGGAGCATTTTTTTTCTTTTCCTTTGGAGACTCTACTATAAAAACATTCACCAACTCTCTGCAGTCGTTTGATGTGGGAACGTTTGAGATTTATCTTAAAGAAATGTCCATGCTCATACATCTAATAAGTATTTAAGTCTTTTCTTCTAGGATGTGATAAAAACACATCAGCGTTTTTTCAATCTTTAACTTTTGTCTTTCTTTAGAGTGAATTCAGAGGTAAAAGATAACAGGGACCAAAACCACAGATGCATTTGTGAATTTAATTATTAGTCAAATAAATGTAGATTATATCCAAAATTACTTCTGATTTGAAAAGGCGAGTGGATTTTTTGAATCAAAATTATCATCCTCAGCAAAATTTAAAAATGTCAAGCACTGCCCTAAATTATAAAAAAAAAATGAACATTTGTCATTATCTGTAAATAACACACGTAACCAGGGAAAATATAATTAACAACTTTTGAAAATGGTTAAGTTTATTTTCTGCGTTATGCAAATCAGACTTGCTTCTCATCAGGATTATGTTTGATTTTTTTTTCTTCAATCTCATTTTTAAAAAACAATCAAAATAAATGAGCAGAAATGAGTTCACTTTGGATTTAAGTTGACTTCTTGTGTGTGTCGTTTTGACTGGAAATTTGAATGAACTTTCCAGCAGAGTGTCAGGTGTCTGAAGTCATCATCTTTCAATCGTGGATACTCGACAGCTGGGGGTCAACTGTGTGAGTCCACCTGATGATTGTTGACCTGTTTCACTCACTGACAGGAGGATGATGAGGCCAGAAGTGATTTGTGAAGAAGGCCTTTAGAAAAATAAACCCAGAAGATTTTTACTTACCTTGAAACTGGTTGAATTTGATCGTGCCCATCCTCTCTCCGTTTCGGAACATGACTTGACCCTGAGAGGAGAATATAAATGTTACAATAGCAGTGCGAGCTTCAATTATTTTAATTCATTTAAAAAAAAGAACCTAAGCTGAGATCCAATTAATTGTGATTGTGTTTTCTGGGACATTAACAGAGAAAGGTCAGAACCTTCACAGACTGCAGAAATCTGTGTGTTGTTTGGTTAGAAGTCCGTAAATGTGACCTTTTTGTGTTGATAAGAAAAATACCTTTCCCCCAAATTCATTTTCTTGTATCTTTAAAACAGCATTAAGTGAAGCTGTGCTCTGTCTGGTACGGACTGAGGCCACTGTGCAGTGGCCGCTGGCACGTCACCCAATATTCTGTCTTGGATTATGATTCGTCCACCTGAAGGTGTGTTAATTAGTCCCCACCAGGAATGAAGACTTTAAAAAGGCTCTGATGAATTTTTTTTTACACAAACGTTCCGGTGAGCATCTGGCAACCGTGGACAAGTGAGACAAAAGCCGTCCGACTCCGCCGCCTCACTGCACGCCTTATTCAAATCACTCTGGTCTTTACGCTTTTTCATTTTCCACGCAGTGTCAGTTTTCCTTTATCTGCCTCTATTCTCTCCTTCATCCTGTCCGTTTCACTCTCCTCCTTTTTCATTTACTAAGACTGGTGGTTGGTTCATTCAGCCCACCATCTGTGTGCACAGCTCCTTAATACATATACAGAGAGAAGGAGATGGATGATGGATGGATGGATGGATGGTTGGATGGATTGTTTCATCGATGATAAGAACCTGTCTCAGCTCCTTGAGACACCTCAGAGACGTATCCAAATATGTTGTTGATAATAACAGATTCTTAGTTGATAAAGCAGCAACACAGTCAGTCACGCAGAGGAACGCACTCTGATTTATCCAATCTTAATTGAAAAACAAAAACCCAAAAGGTTCCTACATGATTAAATAACCTCTGGCTGACAAAAAAGTGAAAGAAACAGAAACAGACTGAATGTTCATCTGCAGCTGCCGCCGACCTGTGTGCAGACAGGCGGTCGTTTTTCTATTCAAAGGATGTGGAGCGGTGAGTCAAGGTGCTGGCTGAGCAATCACAGAGCGCTGTCATGTGAAAGTGCAAGTGTTGGTGTGAATGTGCCTTTCTGGGGCGAGACGTGGGAGAGGGTGAAATGGAATGTGTTTCTGCAGGGGCAGGTGTGAGATCCTCTGGGTTCTCAGAGGGACAGCGCAGATGTAAACCTGAACACACACACACACACACACAGATAGGACTCAGTGATATTATCTCCACCTCACACACACGTGACCTCTCGCTGCTCCCTCCATCTAAACCTCCCTGCTGAATTCCTGCGGTTGTAGCAGCTACCTGCGCTCTGTGGGTCCCTCTCCGCTCCACTCGGCCTTCTCTGTAACCCTGACAGCAGCCGGATCAATACTGCAGAGCCCTCGATGATCGCTCTCCCGTCTTCAGCAGCAGGGCCAGAGTCGGTGTGAACCCACAGAACGTGTGTTTGTGTACACAACAAACACAAAGCGAACGTGTGTTTGTGTACACAACAAACAGAGTTTGTAAAGAAAATCGTGACATCAGCCCGTCGTAGAGGCTTCGCATCCATCGGTTATTTTTGTGCACGTTAAGTCTGCTTTTACCAAAGCCTGTGCATGGATCTGTTTTACTGGAAACCTTGTTGCGATTATCGCAGCTCACAAATGTGCTGCTCGATAGCTGATCCTGAAATCTGACTTCAGGACAGGCATCAAAGATGTGTGCCGTGTGCAAACAGCATAAAGAAGAAATTGCTTCTTTTCTTTTGTCTGCGCTCCCCGTGTGTGGGTGGGAGCTGCTGTGTACTTTGTGTGAGCTGCAGAGGGGAGCACTTCTAATTTCATTTCATGTAATCCCCTAAAAGAACAGCTGTTATAGGCCCATCCTAAATCACTTGGCAGGAAGTGACAGATTAAATTACACTTGTGTGGTGTTTATGCTTTTCCAATATATATGGATGTACTTAGCATGCACAGTATTCTCGCCTGGATGGATATTTGTTTTGTTTTTGTTTTTGTTTTGTACTAGTGTTTTTTCTAGGACTTTAGTAGAAAGTCGTTCACATAGAGATTTATCAAAGTGCATTTATACCAAGGTTGGACAATTAGTTTACACAGGCGGCCAACTGGGAAAGAGGGCCAGAATAATATATATATAATCTCCTAAATTTCTTAAGGGAACTCCCAATAAAGTTCTATCTGTCTATCTCAATATACATATATGTATATATATACAGTATATATTTATATATGTAGATGTATATAGGTATAAACTGCATGTATGCTTAAATATATATAATTATATATATATATATGCATCCATACATACTTCTGATTTATTTTCAAAGTCTCAGCTCAGACACGACCTCGGCTGTCGTGACATTGTGGGACAACTAAAGGCATCCTTATTCTTAATCTGGAATAATTGATAATGATGTCAAAGTGCTTTCAGGACAGTGGCGTGACGTGACTGGAGTTAGAATGAAACCACAGCCGCCCCGCGCTGCTCTGATTCTACAACTCATTGATGAACGTCGTGGTGTGGGCCTGCTCCTGATCAGCAGTCCTCAGAGTAGTGTTTGTGCTGAGAGGGGTGAGAGTGCAGGGATGAGGAATGATGACACAAAGAGTTGCAAAGCAACACACAAACAGCCAAACCCCTGGGAGAATTCTACTGCGTCTCCGCCCCCACAGCCCTCCCACACCCAGAGAAAAGAATTCACAATAATAACAAGAGCCAGTGCTGACTTTCTCTGGGCTATTTTTTCCTCTTGTATTGTTTGCTTTTTTCGTTTTGCTGACATCCACTCTGTAAAGGTATCTGTTTCCCGGTGTTATTGTCTTTTCCTCGTGTCCCACTCTAACTGTATTCTGTAAACCAGACAATAAAACAGTAGAGAGACAATAGAGCAGCGATGACTGCAGCATTTGGCCAGGCATCGTTTTCAGAGGAAGGTCCTCAAATCCACGTTTCCACGTGGAAAACACAATGTTTGTATCTATATCCGATCCTCACCGTAACTCCGTAGAAGTTGGTCTCATTCATCACGTCCAGCACCATCTTCCCCACCTCATGGTCGTCAATGGTGAAGTTATGATGACTGGTCTGCCTCTGTTTGGCCCGTAGTAATTCCCGTACTCGAGTTAAGGTTTTAGCGATGACCCAGATCCCATCGTAGGCAAAGCCGTGAAATTTACTGGGCTCCACACCTTTCTGCAGAATTCCCTTGCTGTATTCCCTTTCGTACTCCCTCGGGGTCTGAAAAAGGTCAGAAGACAAGAACTGAAAAAGTTGTGCGTTTGGAAAAAGTGCAGTTGTATATTTAGCTTGGATGGCATTGTTTAAAGGAAGGGGTTTCAGTTGCACACGATTTTGTTAAAAATAAAAAATTACTGGAAATGATTCTGCTTTGGAATCAATGCACTGATGGTGTGAAAATAAACTCTATGATTGATTTAGTTGAGGCCACAAGGATACAACTCAGACCTCTGCTGGTGAAAATAAACTCTATGATTGATTTAGCTGAGGCCACAAGGATACAACTCAGACGTCTGCTGCTACTCAAAATATCTCCAAAACCAAAAACAGGTCATAATAAAAAATATTCTTCTAATAACCAAAGGTATCACAAAACGAAACCCTGTTAAAAGCTTTGGAAAATAGAGGGATAAGAAGTTAAATTTGTCCAGCGGTTTGGGAAGCTATCCATGCTGCGTTGCACTTGGATGAATATTTTGAGCATGTTGCGATGTGAGAAATGGTGTCCTATTACTTGATATATTAAGTTTTCAGGTGCTTACTGTTGGTCGTCTAACAAGATATCTTTTTTTTTTAATATATATTTTCACCCTGTATAGTCACCACAGGATGTGAAACTCACCCTGCCAGAGATGCCCTTGATTTGCCGAGCACTGAGCGGCTCAAAGTCCACGCTGATGTAGCCTTCCATCGCTGTTAGCAGCTTCTCCGTGGTGCATTTGGTGGTGTTGGCCTGCTCCCACCAGTTCCCCTGGTACCAGCCGGGGATAATCCACTGATATTTGCTGCCGTACATGTTCAGGTTATATGCCTACAAGGAGTTGGAGGAAACAGGTGTTGGTTGGTGTGACGCAGAAGGAGTGAGCTGATGTCCTTTTTGGTATTTATCATCTGTTGTGACGGCACAACTTTTTTAATCTGAACTGTTAAGGGATGAAACTATGTTCTGTAAAAGCAGACAAAGCAGGGAAAGAAATGGAGCTGACTCTGATTAAATCTGCCCAAGATTGGTTTCTTTTTTGGACATAAATGTCACTCCGTCCCAGTGCAAAATTACATATTTCCCCCCTTTTCTGCCGAATCGTATTAAGTCCAAAACTGCAGTCACATTTCATATACAGGAAATGTCTCAATGTCACTGGTCTGCTGCGTCAAACAGGTGCATCCCGTAAATGTAGAGCGACAGTAGACTTACACAGCAGAAGACCTTGGAGGCCAGGTTCTCATCAAACTGACCTATGATGATCCTGACGTCGTTGTCCTGAAAATACACACAAATACACTTAACATTGTAAAACACAACAGTACTTACTGTGTACTGAGTGAAACAAAAAGTTCCTGCTAACAGTGGCTGTGTTTTTGGTTTTACTGTAACCTAATATTTAGTGGGACGGCTGCACTTTGACTCTGGACTAATACACAAACACACTTGGCCTGATTAAAAAAAAACTCACTGAAAAGAACCAGAGAGCATGCTGGGACTTTGTATGAAGCTCTTAGTTATTACTGTTGCACTACAGTAACATCGCACTGTGTACGGGAGTAATTGCACATAACGATGTTTTGTTGTGTAGTATTGTTGTGTAGTCTTGTTGTGTATGGACAGCATGTACGGCGGTGTGTGTCAGTGACTACTTAATAACTTCTCTGGAGGAAAGGCACTTAACCTAAATGACTCCAGCTACAGTATGGCCAAGGACGGCAGCCTCAATATGAATTCCGGAACATCGGGCAATAACTTGGAAAGGTGTGTAGTTGTGGTGAAGTGTGTTTTACACCACATCCTTCTCTGGTTAACGCCCGAGCTCTAATGATATCACAGTAACTTCACTCCTGTTGCATCTCAGTCAGGAGTGTTTGTTATGTTGCCATGGTGATTTGTGTTTGATAGCAGTTTAGGTGATACGAGTTCAATCAGACAATATCAAGGCTTATTAAACACACACACACACACACACACCAATTTATGAGCTCATCAGAGACGGGATTTGTACCGCGATGGTTGATGTACAGTGTAACTCCCGCCCACTCAAACCACCGCCTCTCAGATGGACAGGATTTATGCACGTGCACGTCGCACACCGTGTTGTGTTTTATTTCATCACTAATTGAGCACTGGAACAGCAATAAACGCCACACACATTTTTATGATGTTGAATCTGGCTGTGATGACTCACTTGGAGTTTACAGGCTGCAAATTGAAGTCAATTAGATGCTGTCACAACGCACTAAGACATCCACACCCAATGTGCTGCTTCTTGGGTGGTGGTTCCCAAAGTGGGGGGCAGGACCCCGTTGGATATCATTAGATGATAATTAATAATTCTACCAGTTGGATTGGTCAGAAATAAAAACAAGGAGTGAGACCCTGGCATCTATCTACCTGATTAATCAGGAATAATCCGATAGACTAATCTTGTTGAGTAATCTATAGCTACCAAGGTTAATCAGAATAACATTTTTCTATCATTCGACAATTTTAACTATTTTGAGTCGCTCCAACTGTATAGTTACTGCAGTACTAGTATTGTACTAGTCCTCCTGGTAAATGAGGGTCCATTGTATCGTGTGTTCTTTAAGGCCAATCAATTTTATTGACAGATTTTCAGCTCTGGAAGTTCAAGGTAAGAGACAATGATTGGACAAAGACCATTGTCCAGCATTTATATAGAAGTCAAACAGCCTTGATGCACACACAGTCAACATCAACATATAATACCAGCGACAGCTGTAACTCTGTCACCTGACTGAGACACGTGTGTGTGTGGTGTGATTATGTAGTGTGTTTAGAGAGGGTGATTGCTGTCAGGGCTGAATCACTTACCTTGAGCTTCTTGACATTGACACAGGGGTCGTTGGAGAAACTCTCCGTATCTGCAATCTGAATGTCGGCTTTCTCCAGCTCATTAGTCAGGTCGTTCCTCACCTGAGACACAGGACAGGAGGGAGAGTCAGAGAACCAGAGCTTACGTATGAGTCCGCTGTGTAATTAGTGTTCCTAATCAGAGGTGGGGAATGTGTGAAATGGAAAAGTTAATTATGATTTGATTATGACATGTATTACTGTTGAGGGCTCCTAAAATAGACACAGGATCTAAAGCAGGGGTGTGAAACATATGGCCCGCGGGCCATAACCGACCCGATTGGAGTTTCAATTTGGCCTGCTTGATTATGATTAACAATCACTGATTTAGATAACATACAAACCAAACACCATCAAACCTCAATCACCATAACTGTGTGAGTCCACCTTAAATCCAAACACTTACGTCTACATTGCTCCGGAAACATCCGCTGCACATATTTTGTTAACACCACGTGTAAACAGATTTGGTTTGAGCTTCGGCTGTCATACTACCAAAAACAAGTGGCTCAGAGAAGACATTGGCGGCGTAAAAACATCGAAGCTCTCATGGTGCTAATCCGGCTGCCTTTACCTGGTGTTAAGTTCTTATTCTGACAGTTTTCTTCGTCACTCTGACAAATATCTGCTTTAATTTGTGATGATTCTTGAGGGGAAAAAAAACCCCGCAGATGTTTGAGGAGTAATCTGCAGCAGCGAAAGTGTGTTTGCTTTGATGTATTGCTTCAAAAAATGGTGGGTATTGGAATCAAAGAGGAGAGAAGATGGCAGGTATCCCGCTGAGATGGTGAGCTTCCTGTGGTTTATTATGCTGCCTCTCAATCTCTCTGCCTCCTCACAAACATATTAGGTATGTATGTATTTTTAATAGAAAAAAAGTCTTGTTTTTACAGATAAACAGCAGAGAGCAAGCTTCATTTTCTGGCATCCCAAAAACTCCCCCTTCGACCATGAAACATGGCTAATTTTCCTAAATGTACTGGTCCGTATCGACCATTCATGTTCACACTCCCACCGTCCCTGCTCCTTCTGTCGAGGGACTGTGAGAGGAGACAACCCACACAGGCACGTGTAAAACATTCAACCTAGCAGTGAAACTCCCAGGTGACCACTTCATTCAATCAGGGGCTGGTTGGACTAAATACCCTCAGTAATGGGCCTACTGCATTATAATCTGTTGCCAGGTAAGCCAGCATTAAAGCCTGCACAATACTAGCCTCCTGGCGCTAAAGTAGCTAAAGGGAACATAGCATTTAATGCCGTAATCGGCAACACCTGCATTCCAGTGATATAAATGTCTCACAGAGGACATCTTCTAGTCTCCTTTTGGACACGTTTCTCCTGTCTTTTACGACCACCACTATCTTAGTAGAGGGTCATTTAATAATTGATCATTTCTGCGTATTTATTATAAGAGTATTTTGTCCACATTCAAAGGCTATAGCCAGGATGATGTAAATACCTGCCGTCATCTCGTCTCCTCCTCCTGCTCTGTTACCCTGGAGGCTCCTCTCTCTAAATCACTTCACATCACTCACTCCTGTTCAAACGGTTCCAGCCTATGTACCGTTTTCTTAAGTGGAAAAGAAACCACACACAGCCAATCAATAAAACTAGGTTTTGCTTCTGAGAAACAGCTGGTTTGGTGGTCTGGACAGACCGGTGTGTTGTTGGGTTGAATGTTAGTCTTTAGTAGTAGATGGAAACACTCGTGGGCGCTCAGATAATTCACATTAGAAACGAATCAACAATTATTTGGCAATATGACGTCCAAAAGAAATACTTTTGCTAAAATATATACAGATATATTTTTCTTTGGCTGGACTTTGTGTGGCTCTATATCATGTGCTTTGCTTGACTGCGATGCATGGAGTGATAGAGCAGAGTCTCTGTTGTTGTCAGTGGTTACAAGAAGGAGACGCCTGATGTCCTTCAGCAGACACAGTCCTGGACATCCACAGGAATTTATATTCTACTCTTAACAGCAACTAGGATTTTTGATGGTTTGCATCCAATATAATATAATATTTAATATAATAACCCTAACTGCTAACTGCTAGCCCTAACCACTGTCCTTTAGCCCTGACATTAGCCTCTTAGCCCTAGTCCCTACCCTTTGGTCAAACTAGGGGAATACTGGTGATTAATAATTAATTAGACTCTATTAAAGCCATCTGTCTCCATGTCTGTACAGTTAGGTCCTACTCATATAAACCCCATCTACCCAAAAATGTTGTATGAAGATACTGCATGTTAAGGTAAAATAAACAATTCAGTCTCAGATATTTTGGCTCTGGCTGTAAAAAAAATCTTAAAGACAACAATGTAAAGAAACTGTAAGAAACTCTTTTTTTTGGTTCAATAACCATCACTGCTCCTTTAAAGATACAACCCCAAGGGTTAGAAACCAGATTACATTTTTATACTGGCATTTGTTATATGGAGTCTACACTGAGGAAGGCAGACAAATGTTTTTTTGTTGTTTACTGTTTCCTCCATTCTGTGAGTGGCCTGGGAATCCACAGCAGTAAATACAGACATTTCAGTACTGAGACGGCTGAGCATGGTGGTGCAAACACAGGTAAACAAGTAATACTGTGAGTACACACCTACGGATTCTGGATACAATTTTACTGTGAGTTGAATCTCAGTGTTGAAAAATGAATCCAAGGATTCATTTTGGTTTTTAATCTGTTTTTGCATAAGGAAAAAAAAATGCTTTTAAAGCTTCTTCATTTAAAGTAAATGATGACAAACTGACCAAATAAGGAAGCAAAGGGAACACACACTCTGTCTTCAGGGTTTTTATGACACGTTGATCGATGATGTCACACAGATTCCACTCAGTTTCCTGCAGCGTAAAAGCCCCTTCATGGCAGCTATCTCTCAATGGGTTTTATAATAAAATAGTGTGTGTATTGCAGAGGTCACAGGGTCAGGCACAATATTCTGTCTGCACTGTAGTACTGTTGGATTAAACAAGTAAAACAAATGTCAATAAATGAAATAGTTCCTTAAGGACGTGAGTGCTGTTAAAGTCGGAGAAGAGTGAGAATCTCACCCCAGACCCTTGGTAACAGTAACATCGAGTGATAGTTTTTGGTTATTGTTGATATAGTTTGAAGCAGTTACACATTTAATGGTGGTCCAAACATTGTTTTGTTTTCCCCTCTGTACCACATGTCATTGTTGCAGTTTAGTCCTAATACCATTTTTTGCTTCAATCATTTAGACCTATTCATATTTTGCTATTCTTCATGAGTGTCCATGTCTGTTGTATTCTATCTATGGATCCTTCAGGAAATCCACATAGTTGTGGATGATCCAAAATGTATTCCAATCAATGCTGGTTCAGTTGTGGCTCCCTCTTGTGGCAGGGCAGATTACTGTACAAAGCTCATTATTCCCAATCTCTGTGTTTTTGGACTGAACAGGAAACTGAAAAACCCCACGTCCTCCAGCACATGCAGGAGTAGAACAGACAGAGAGAAAGACCAGGTCGTAGCCATGTATTATATCAACTTTCCTATTTTCTACCATTTGGTTCCGTAGTTCATCAATCAAATCCAGGAAGTCATTCATGACTTTCACCAGATCATCAAATCTCCTGTTTGGTCCAGACAATAAACCTAACCCAAACATATTTAGTCATATTTGACACAGCTTTATTTATGTCACGTGCTGCAGATGTTGAGGAAAATGGTGATTGTTGTCCCTTCATCAGTCTTTCACCAGTTACCAATCTTTTTAAAAAAAAATCACTCGTGTCTTCGAACCTTTTGACTGGTATGTCCCTATATGACCATGAGCCTGCATGTAAATGTCAGCGCTCACGCTCTAATACCAGTCATGTGACATACGGCGCCACAGCCTGATGACAAGCTCCCGACAGGCTTCTGCTCATAACCTTACACGCCCTGTGCAGTGGTGTGTGTGAGTGTGTGTGTGTGTGTGTGTGTGTGTGTGTGTGTGTGGCTTCAGTGAGGCACCATCTGGTTAATGAATGAATGAACAAGAGGCGTGGCCTGTAGGACCTGTAGGAAAAGATAGATGGATGGATGGATGGAAGGATGGATGGATGGGAGGGTGGATGGATGGAAGGATGGATGGATGGATGGATGGAAGGATGGGTGGATGGATGGATGGAAGGATGGATGGATGGGAGGGTGGATGGATGGAAGGATGGATGGATGGAAGGATGGATGGATGGGAGGGTGGATGGATGGAAGGATGGATGGATGGAAGGATGGATGGATGGATAGATTGTGGCAGTGACGGTGTAATTTAACATTGAGGCTGGCTGAGTTTGTTCAGGACCAAGGACAGAGTTCTAATCCGGCTCTCAGTCTGGCCACTCACTGGACTGACTGAAGCTCTCTAATATATTAATATATGTTTTTTAGCTATTTTGTCTTACCCTCAGATGCAAACAATACAAAACACTTTCATTTTACTACTACTTCTACTGACAAATACACAATACCTTTATCTGCACATTCTCCATGTATGTGAGGATGCAGGGGCTCTAATGTATTGTCCAAGTGTCTTAGTGTTCTGTTCCATTCATTGTTTGGCCTTGACATGGCAACAACTTGTCTTGCTGAGTGTTGCTGGGACTTGACATTGTCCCCAAATCTGGTGCAGTCTAAACCCCGATGACGATTGTACGGCTGGTGGAGTGCAGAAGCGATGCTTGCATATTTGTAAATCGGGATTAGAGGCCAATCTTGTGGCAGTCTGATTGAATCGGGACGTCCGTCTTCCTCCTATCTCTAAGCCCCTCGCTGCTTTCAGGAGGGTAGAGATAAAGGGATTTAGGCTCTCTGAGATTTGTGATGAGAAATTGTACACACCCCCGCCCTTCCTTTTCATCACCAGCTGCTGAACAGATTGTTTTCAACCAGGACCCTTGGGCCAAACTCAGCAAAAAGTCAAAACATCAATACTTCTGACATGGCTTTTTTTTCTTTTTTGAAGGAATGTTTCTGAGTCGCTGATGTGATTTTATTTTTAAATAGTTATTTAAAGGCACGACAACTCAGTTTGACCGTACTGAGAAATAAAAGTAAAACGTTTCGCTCAGAGCTTCTATTTTTAGTTCAACTTGAAGTTTTTCTTTTTTCTTGTTTCTTGGAATTTAAATCAATGACAGTGTGACACCTTTGCTTTTCCTCTGCGATAAAAAGACGCTGAACATAAAAGGCCGTAGAATGTTTATTAAAGATGGATTTGTCCCCTTGTATTCGGAGCTTCAGTCCAATTTACAATTACTTAACAGGCAAATTGACTTTCTAGTTGTGAACGTGACGGCTTTCTTCCTTCAAGAGCTTAAACAAACGTATTAATCACAAACTGACTTCAACTAAAGATGAAGGTAATTACTTTAAACTGACTTTAAATATTAGGGGCAAACTCAGATGCAACAAATCTGTTAAAGAAACAAATTAGTTTTAGTTAAATTAGTTAAATACTTTTCCTTTGATAGACATTTAATGGGAAATTACTAAAAAGCTCCGCTCGATTCAGAAGTTAAAAATGATATATCTAATATGAATTACCATATAGATTCTAGATTGCAATTTTTGAGGAGATGTATTTTACAAAATCAGAGACCAAGAACAGCCGCAAACCACCAGAGGGCACTCTAGTCTTGCAAACCCCGCCAAAGGATAAAAAAAAAGTGTGACCTGTAGTCAGGAAAATACGGTATTTTGTCCTTGGCTCTGTGGAGAATAATCATCTTTTCTATTTATTTAAGCAAAGTAAATATTTGCGATACGAAATGTCATTCATTCACGTGACGACTGACCTCCGAGAACCTCTGGACGTCCTGTGTTAGTGTCCCCACACGGCTCCAGTTGTAGTAGTTGAGGAACTTCACCACAGCAGGGTTCACAGCATTGTCCGACGGCACAGTGCGGAAGAAGTTGGGGTACTTTTTCTTGTCTGCCAGAACTGGTGTGGTGGCAGCGAAGGACAACTGTAACCAGAAAGACGGAAGAGAGATATGAATGTATTACAAATATTCACAAAGACGCAGTAATAGGCAAGTAGTGTGAATGAAACAAACCAAAACACTGAGTCTTAATACACTTTATCTTTGGATTCTGTGCAGAAACTGTACACCCCGTCTGCCTGATTGTGTGTATTCAAGTTATACACATGTGTGGGTGTTTGTGTGTGAATGTGAAATAATGTATTTTCGGGAAACTGAGGTAAAAGCACACAAAACTGTGACTAATCCGTTTGCCAAAGAACACTGTGACAAAGACCAGAGGAGATAAGGCAGCGTGTCTTACCCCAGGTCTCAGGGATATTTTGGCACCTAGAGTGGAGCGGAGATAAAAAAAAAAAAAAGGAGCTTTATTTTAACCGTCCCATCTTTATTAATTTAATGAGCGATATGAATCTCTGCAGGGTTAATTACATACTTTGCTGAGATTAAGTAGAATTTGAGATTGGTGATAGTCATCAACAGGAGGATATTATGACTCTGACTCAGACCAAAAGGTGCTGCAGTCGGCCAGCTGTGATTGGTTCAAGCACCTCCTGACTTTACACGTCGTTGTCACAGTCTTATTAAATCTCCATCCATTTAAAGATGTCTCTGAGACGTATTAGTGTCATCGTAGTGCTACGAAAGAGCATTGATGCTGTTATAAGACGAGAAAAGTTGAGAAAAGTGAGTTCTAAGACAAAGTGTTGTCATTTTATTATCACTTTTTCTTAACGTCTCAAACACATTTGACATTTTTCCACTCACACCTTCGTCAAGCTGTGTTTCAGTTATTTTGATCATATTTACATCCATCATGAAGCAAACGTGGTAATTAGAGCTAACATCAAGTTTTAACCAAACTATGTTTTTAATCCAGCTGTCTGGTTATGTTTTTTTCTGTTCTGAAACAGAATGAACTTGAGAAAATAAGCTTGTTATTTTTTATCAAGAAATATTTTTATTTCAGTGAGTCTTCCACTGCCCCTTCTAATACTAAAATATTTTTAGAATATATCTCTGAGCAGGACTTTTCAGTGGCAAAGCCAAAAATACCTCCATGATATCACACATCGCCCAGTAGTGGCTTACGTAAGAGCGCTGTGAAGAGGGTCAGCGTAAATGGGATGGTCTCGGGTGGAGAGCTCTACACCGCGGACACGCGTTCACACACTGTAGCCTCTGGTGAAGCTGGAACACACAAACGGCAGCAGACGGCCTACTGTTGCCAGCAGTTATTAGATCTGTGGTTGATGGGATCTGGGCACAAGGTCACTGAGGTCACTGGTCTATATTAGGACTCCGGATCTTCTCGGGTTAGAGGAGACCTAACATATTGTCATGATCTGAGGTAAATCACTGATACAACTACAGTGTATATACCATATAAACCATGGTTTTATTAGTCATGTGAGCTCCTTCTGCACCAATCATAACCAAGAACCTCTGCCTAAAACCTTTTCTTCCATATCACCCAGTGAGAGTCTTGAGGCCCTGACAGGCAGAGCCTGAAGTCGAGAACGTTTCACAGTTATGTCTCTCTGAAGCCTGCTCTGCATGTAAATGATCGTCTTCGGCCCCACGAGCATCATCATCATCGTGAGGTGTCACTAAGGCATCGATCTGCCTCCATGGCACAATCGTAGGACGCATCCCAGAGGGACAGTCAATGCCAAAGCACTGCAGAGAGTCTTTGATCTTAGAAGTTGATGACAGTGTTGTAGTATCACAGACCAGGACTCAGACTTGGTAACAGTTTAATTAATGTGATATATCTCAACACGGGGCCGCCCGTGGCAGCATGTCGGTGTTGTAAAGACTCACACTTTTTTAAATTTCCTCATTGTGGGAACAAGGGACTGTCATAATAGAGATTCTGTAGTGTGGTGGTTAGCACACCTGCTTTGCAAGCAGAGATTGTTGGGTTTGATTCCCAGAAGAACCACATACTTTGTACCTCCAGGAAGGTGTGGGATCAAGAAAGTACAAATTATTATTCTTTAAAAATGCCCAAAATATCTAGATGGAAAACTCAAAACTCAAGTGACTGAGTATTTTTTTATTGGATGTATTATGGAGCTATTTTTTTAGAGCCAGCCTCTACTGTCTGGCAGTGGTACTACAACCTGCGGCCTGAAAAGAAAAAGAACAGTGGTTCGTACCTAAGCTCACTTTGTGTATGTTTGTGTGTATTTGTGTGTGTGTGTATGCAAAAATTGTATTTTTAGTTGATTGTGAAACTGAGAGAGGTCAGAAGATGTCAGCTACACACGTGGGCTCTTATTTGTCCATTTGATTCAAATGCATATGTAGTCATTTTCCAAATCTGGAATATATTCCCGTTACCTTCTGACGTCCCAGCCTTTTCACCTGGAGCCGTCTACATGTTTCATTTAGAACAGGTGGTAATGGCTTGTCTCAAACACTTTTAATCTGTTCAGTAATTACTGAGAATGAGTTGTTGTCAAACCAGTGTCACCTGACGGACAAATGTGCAAACCAACGCTGTCATTGATGAAGCCCAGCGATTGTTAGAAAATATGCTAAATAAGACTCCATTTAAAAGCTATAACTGTTTATTGTTAGCCACTAGCCATTAGCCATTAGCGGCCTTTACAGAATACTGCGTGTTGTGAGTTAGTGGGTAATTTTAAGGTGGGTTGTCTTTCTGATCACGTTTCAACTCAGCCTTGGAATATTGCCATGGCTAAAGACCTAGACATAGTTGTTAGAGTCTTTATTACAGCAAAATGTCTCTTTGTTTATACCTTCTGCAATATACCTGCCTGATCTGGCATGGAAATGAGAATCGACGGCGCATAAATTAAGGGCTACAGGCTTTACAATCGTCCAAGTACAGACCATTTGGGGGGGGAGCGGGCGGGGGGTGAGGAAGATGCGTGAGTGTGCCTAATCACAGTGATTAATGAAACAGCATTGAACCCTGGTAGGGACACTTCACAGCAGGAGCTGCTCGTGCTAATTGTGTGGTCGGCCTTTGAATAATCAAGGGACTGATACGACGAAGATTAAAAAGTTGTTGTGTAACATATTAATCTGGGATGAGATTGTACTTGGACTGCATCACAAATAATGTCCATATATTGGATTATATATTGTCCATATATTGGATTATATATTGTGTTGAAGAAAATAATTTGACACTTTTCCCCCCAAGAAATAACTGTGGTTAGACTCTTAAATGGTATTATAACAATATTATTTTATATATATTTTCTCTCTTTTTTTAATGGGTTGTTTGGATTTCGATTTTTAGATTTGTTGGTTGTTAAGTTTTTAGTATCATCTGAACCCGTGCTGTGGCAAGATTTTCATTGAACGTAACTTTAAACATCTGTGTTTAAGTGAGTTCTCTGAGTTTGGTGTTGCAGTTAGTTTTCCCCTGAACTCCTGGTTCATTCCCGTGCTCACTTTAGCAGTTTTCAACTTTACACACACACTGCGCTGCAGCAGCTACAGTAAGTCAGTGAAGTGTGCAGCAGCTGAAGCTCTTCCTGCTTATTTCAGTGCTGTGAGGAAGACTGCTGCAGTGCAGCTGAATAATTAACAATGGCAGCCATGTTAATCAACTGTGCCTTCATTCTGGAAGAATCAGAGTTTTCCCTCCGTGTCGCTCGTCACTGTCATCGTCTCAGGTTACAGTTGGGTTTATTTCTGCTCTCTTTTCACACCTCCTCTCACACCCTGACAACAGGGGTGAAGGATTTCACAACAGGAAGGAGACGTTTGTAAAAAAAAAATAAAATAAAATAAAACAAAGGGGGAAGCGATTTTTTTTATACATGTATAATAAAATGAGAAACATATTCTAGAAGTGAACATATGGCTTTTGTTTTGAAAGAAATTGATCACATTGAACTACAGGTGGACTTTGGGAAATCACTGAGGGGTTATCAATTAAATGTGATTTACAGGTATTATGACTTTGCTTAGGCTTTTACTTTAAAAAGCTCTTTTTTAATTCTCATGTAAGGACTTTTCGCTTGTAATGTTAGTTTATTTTTATTATTTATTTTGATATAGTACAATATTTAATACTCAGCTACTCTATGACATCTTTCCTGTGGTGTTACAGCCTAATTCTAATAAATGTAAATTCTCATTCATATGCACGTATGGTAAAGAGCTTTGACAAAAGTATATTTAACGACTCAATTTGAAGACTCAAATGTTTGGGTAACATGCAGTTGAATTGCCAGGACGGAGCTCAGAATTCCACACTTTCCAGCTGTGCTTCAACAAACCTGTTGAATGTTCATAATGTCAAGATAAAGCTTTTCTTCCGGTCAGGTTGAATTTTGATGCCCGTCCCTCTCGTGCCTGTTCTGTCTCCCGTCGCCCACCTCACAACAGATACACAGCACATCCATTCTGGCCCGGGCCCCCGTGCAGGGTAATGGCTCAGTAATAGTAGTGCAAATGATCAGGAAGGTCGGGGGTGGTCCTAGGGTTTATTCAATATGCAAGAGAGGCATTTGGTGCACCATGGGAGAACGCAGCTGGAGAGACAGCAGTCAGGGAGAAGCTTTGGACCACACGCTGACCTCATCCCGCACTCATTAGCGCCACGATTGTGGATGAGGGGGGGTAGAAATACAGTCATGCGATGGCCAGACTTTCAGAGACAAAAGAGCGAGGGGTAGTGCCGCAGAGGGAGTACAGTGGAACCTCGGTCGTCGAACGCCTCCCTTTTCAAAACAATTCAGATCACGAACAAAGTTTTTAACCTAAGATTGCCCCGGTTGTCGTACCATAACTTGGTTGCCGAACAAGCCAACAATATCAGGCTATTCATAGCTTTGTTCTTTATTCATCTTTTGTTAAATCTAGTGATTTTCATTGGTTTTGTGTATGAACTTGTACACAGAATACTGTTGAAAAAGTTTGAATAATCAATCATCCAGGGTCCAGGAACAGATTCATCCATTTTACACTGATTCTTAGGGTGACAGGTTTCAAACTTT